TTTCACGAGTGGCAAAGGTACAATGACCAAACACAAATGCTATAACATTTATTTGCCAACATATTTGACAACTCTATAAAATAACACGTCCTATATCTGAAGAGTCAGAATGCGAAGGTATGTCAAATAAAAGATCTTAAAGGTAAAACAGTACTTATGTCCAACCTTTCTTATAATCCCATCCTCTTCCTGGTTTCGTATATAGTTGATATATGTGTGAATAAAAGTGGGGAAGAGCCCATAAACCTAACCACCATCTCAAACTTTGTAAGACATAAGTCACACAGAAACATCACAGCCCAAGTGCTTAGTTTTTCAAAATTGCTCATTTACAAACTATGAGCACGGAGTGTATGGCTTGTGTATATGCAGAACTATAATCAGAACAAGCAATTCCACCTAAGTAACAAAAAACATCATTTGGCAAGTATTCTTCAGACTGACAGTGTCCCAAATGCTACTAGTTTTGAAAGGTCGTACCTTTATTCTCTTTCATGATTAAGGCTATGGTGTTATTTTTATTGTGAAATAGATATCACTTGCATTGCCATTTCTGGGAGCTCCTGGTTACATAAAATCATAGAATAGTTAGGGATGGAAAGGACCTAAGAACATCTAGTTCCGACCCCCCTGCAATGGGCAGGGATACCTCACGCTAAACCATCTCACCCAAAGCTTCATCCAGTCTGGCCTTGAACACCACCAGGGATGGAGTATTCACAACTTCCTTGGGCAACCCATTCCAGTGCCTCACCACCCTAACAGGAAAGAATTTCCTCCTTATATCCAATCTAAACTTCCCCTGTTTAAGTTTGAACCCATTACCCCTTGTCCTGTTACTACAGTCCCTAATGAATAGTCCCTCCCCGGCATTCTGATAGCCCCCCTTCAGATACTGGAAGGCTGCTATGAGGTCTCCACGCAGCCTTCTCTTCTCCAGGCTGAACAGCCCCAACTTTCTCAGCCTGTCTTCATATGGGAGGTGCTCTAGGCCCCTGATCATCCTCGTGGCCCTCCTCTGGACTTGTTCCATCAGTTCCATGTCCTTTTTATGTTGAGGACACCAGATCTGTACACAATACTCCAAGTGAGGTCTCACGAAAGCAGAGTAGAGGGGCAGAATCCCCTCCTTCGACACAGATATGAGAAGTTTTTATTCCCAAAGTACTCAAAACATACATTTGTTTAGCTTTTCGCTGTTCTTCAAAGATTATAAATTCTCTGAGCATAGCCAAGGCTCTCACTGGTCTGGATATTGGTAATTCCATGCATGCGCTGTTTCCTTAGTCTGAATAAATATGCCATTGTGTAAGAAGTCCCACTGATACTCCAGGTTTGAAAGTTAACCCTCCACAAGTTTGTTTTTTTTTTTTGTCAGAATCATTACCAAAATAATTACTCTTGGGTTATTCTTCTGCTAGCTCTGATAAACTCTCAAGCACAGAAACACTGAAAAGTGATTGGCTGGTTGCTTGGTTGGTTAGTTGGATTGTTTTCCCCTTTATAAATCAAGCTTGTTCATAGACTTCCTATATATTTTAATTACTTATAGCAACGCTACAGTGATACTGTTGCAAAAAAGCAGCACTAATATGTTGGAAGAGGTGCATATGAGCTCTTGGATTAACAAAGTCAAACAGTGCTTCTCAGTAAAGAAAAAAAAGTTCCTTTTTAACTTTTATACATCAGAAAATGCAAAATTCCCCTTGAAAATAGTAAACAAATCTTTGAATAATGGTAACAATGAAAAAAAAAAGCTGAAAATATACCAAAATAAAACAAAATATAAAAAAATAAAACATAACTTTTTTTTTTGTTTTTTCATTTTTAGCTGAGCTTGTTGGGTAACAACAGTCAGCCGTGGTCTTATTCAGAGAGGTAAGTCATAGGATCATAGAATAAACTAAGTTGGAAAAGACTTTTAAGAACATCAACTCCAACTATTACCCCAGAACTGCCAAGACAACCACTAAACCATGTCACTAAGGGCCTCATCTGCACAGTTTCTGAACACTTCCAGGGATGGTGGTTCCACCACTTCCCTGGGCAGCCTGTTCCAATACCTGATCACCCTCTCTGTGAAGGAATTGCTCCCAATATCCAATCTAAACCTGCTCTGGTGCAGCTTGAAGGCCGTTACCTCTTGTCCTATTGCTTCCTACTTTGGAGAGGAGACCGACACTCTCCTCACTACAACCTCCTTTCAGGTGGTTGTAGAGAGTGGTAAGGTTCCCCTTGAGCCTTCTCTTCTCCAGACTGAACAACTTCTTCAGGGCAAGGTAGCCCATACTAGTGCATGTCTCCATAGGTCCAAAGTACTCCAACTTATTGCTGACTGACAGCATAAGAGTTTTCATTTCTAACCTTTACTGAGCTTGGACTCATCACCTCCAGAATCACTTTATACAGTAATAATTAAAACATATGCATAGATCTGGGATCTGTAAACTGGGCAGAGTAATGAACATGCACAGCCAGTTATGGCTTTGAAAGAGCACTTGATCTGGAATATGTACTGAAGTAGTAATAAGACATAGGATGAACTGCACAGTTCAGCTTCAAGATAGCATAAACGGGTCTTCCATTATGATATTTCTCTGGCATGTTTGAAAATACATTCTCCTCTCCATGAATGTTCTGGGTATGACCTAGGAGAGTATCCAGTGATGACTCATCTTTTAGAACTGCTGAAAGGGAGAAAAGAGGCAGTAAAAACCTCACATAAACCATAAAATTCATGCTGTAAAGCACAACTGATACTTTTCAAGTTAGGCTACACAAAAATTCTATCTACAGCACAAAAGGCAGAGATTTCACACAAGGTAACTAGACACATTTACTGACCCCATTCATACAGCATGGTTGATTGTGGAGAAGCCACATCCATCAGGATGAAATCTAACATTGGTAGCAGGAGGTGGATTATCTGTTTTCTGTTTGCAGTATTTAACAGAATCATGTGGCTTGATGCAGCACATGAATAAAGTTAAAACAATAAACATGAAACCAAGTTTTAAGATTCTTTCTATTAAATCAATATCCCAATACATCCTCTGTCCTCATATTTTAATAACCACATATATTTTGTGCCTCCTTGTGATAATAATTTAAGATTTCAATAGTTACATTGACTACAAGGTATTTGGGAGAACTATTCTTGTTTCTAAATTCTAAATTGATAAAATTAACTTACCTATCAAGTGTTTTTAATTGGAATAGGCAAAAAAGATAAAAAGTGATCTATTTTTGTTTCCTGCTTTTCTTCTGAACCAGGTGATGCTGCTAGATCCTTTTTCCTCCTATCTAATTTACATTTAACTTGGCTGCTGATAATAAGTCTCTAATTTGTAATTTCAGCTGATTACTGATGACGTACATGGGTTTGAAGTGAATCCTATAATCAGCCTTCATTTTCAGGAGTGACTTAGGATTTTGGCTGCCCATCTGAAAAGGATCTAATTTCTTTTATAGAAATTATTGAAACATTCACCATCTGAACCTGTAAAGACCCCCACAGGGTGTATCTAATCACTGAATCACTCACAGTCTTCGGTTACTTCAGATAATTTAGGTCCACCACCTTTAAAGACTTGCACTTCTGTTTCACAGGTTTCCTTTGGTTTTGAATATATCCATCATGACCACCTTTAAAGTAATTAAAACTCTGTAGTAATAGAAAATCTTTCAGGCAGGCAATTGTTTTGCTATTGGGGGAATCATTTTAATAATATAAATTATATTTTATTTATTGCACTCATTTTTCACGCAGAATTATTGCTATGCTTAAGGTATGACATCAGTGGAATAGATCATTACCATGGAAAAATGTCTCCCTTATTTTTATACAGAAAGATGAGAACTCATGCAGTTATAAAACAAATAAATGCTAAAATGTAGACAAAAGCATTGTTCTCCAGTCAGATGGCATTAGTTCTGAGAAAAAGGTCTCTGCAGGTATATCAAATATCTTGTATGCATGTAGTAATTTGGATGGTGCAGCAAGTAAGGTAAAAGTTGAATCTCGTGCCATTGTGGAACTGCTGCTCTCCTATTTCGAAGAATGAAAGAACCTGTCCAGCTATTCATCTAACTGAAAAACATATTGCCCATGAAGATAAAATTCTCTTTAATTTGGTATGTCTTAAATGGTTTTTTAGTCTGTGATTAGCAGTTAAATTCAGCTATTTGGCAGTCTAAGTGATTATCAGGTGCTCCTTTCAGATTCTATTTAGCCTTTGTCTCAGCTTTGTGAGGGTATTTGGTGCTTGGTTAGTGCAACAAGCACTTTCTAGATGGCTTCTTACTACAAGCAGCATGATGATTTTAGTCAGAGAACTTCCCTCAGTGCAGATGTTTTTTCAGGGTGTTTTGAACACTTAATACAGTCAAGGTTAGTCTCTTGTCTAAGCATTATTAATACATATGTAGGAAGAAAACAAGGAAGAGAGAAGGAAACATTCACTGCAGGATGAAACAATCTTTAATATGCTGTAAATACCTTCTCTGGTGTACATAAATATATATATATTACTGTGAGCAATCTGTAGGATATCGACATCCATTTTTATCTAGCTAGATATTTTTCCATAGGAATCTATATAAATGCATGTATCTTAAGCATATTCTAAGTATAATCTCCTGTACTTGCCTTTGCAGACAAAATTATCAACATTTTAATGTAAGATGCTGGAAGCAGTTATTTGGGGCAGGCAATAGTGAGCGCAGTAGGATTACTGAGTAACTATTTTCCTCTCTTAGACCCTGTAAGAGGGAGAGAAAAAGCAGAAAACAGGAACAGCTTAACTCACCAAAAAAATCAAACCACTGCATTGCCCTCCTAGCCACTGAACGTTTTCGAACATAAGACCGAAGATTGCATGAGTGCAAGAAAGACTCCCTGCTCTCTCTACAATCACAAGCTGTGGACTATGCAAAAAAGAAAGAAAAAAAAAAAAAAAAGCTCAGGTTTACCCCAGCATCGGAGCCAGTAGAAGTCAGAGCAGGTAGAGAAGTGTAGGGAACGGAGAGAGAGGGAAGGGTTAAAGGCATTATCGCAGCCATTAGAGGGAAAAGTTGAAGCAGTACAAGCACAGTAGAGTTCTCTCTCTTCCCCCCTCCCCCCTTCTCTCCCCCACTCCCCTCTTCTCGAGCTGTATCAGTGTGTAGGGAGGGCAGTCATCACGCCATCCTGAGCAGCAAGAGCTGACGTTGGCCGAAGCTGCCAGGTAGCTGAAAAAAGGCACAGAAGGCAGCTGATACCCACTTTTCAACGGTTTGTTTGTTTTTTTTTTGTGTGTTTTTTGTTTTTTTTTTTTTTTAGTCTGAATCTGGACTTCAAGCAACACAGCGCCTGAGACGGCTCATCTGAACCACACTATATTGCAATACTCCCTCTTCCCAAAGAAAAAGACTCCACTGAGTAGCAGAATGCTGCCAGTGTTGCAGCTAGGGCTACAATACAGAGCCTTTTTGTAACATCTCTCTGTTCACGTATTTAGAGATACATACACACACTCATATATCAATTCTTCCTTTTTTGAGGGCACCTTTGGCTTTTATTACCCTGATGTGACTTCTTCTTCGTCTTGGAATGATGGGGATCTTTCTAGCTTATGTTGGATTCATTTTCTTTTCAGTTATGTATATTCAACAAGGACTTTCTACCCAAGGTAAGATCACTTATTGTCAAATCCGTGTGTATGTTTTTCAATGCTAAAACAGACTGAGAACAGGATTAGGGGGAGGAGGATAAGAGGAAAAGGAGACTAAAAGGAAAAAAGCACACAGTGGGTAGGAGATGAAGACACCAGGCATCAGGCTTACACTTAGGTTAAATATTGTCTTTAAATAGGAACAGAAGTGAGAAGTTTTCCCAAAGTGGGAATAAAACAGGCTTCCGTTACTTGGTTGCAAAGGGGGAAATAAGAGACACCTCTCAGAAGAGTAAAGGACTGTTGGTGAATGGACATACATGTGTTTGGGTAGTGTATGTCTGTGTATGTGCATGTATGCATACAATAAACACCTACCCGTGCGTGCATAATTATTGCATTCAGACCAAGTATCAGGTGGGTAAATCTACTGCCTCTCTCAAAACATTGATCCTCCTTTAGTGCTGCCTCCCCTTTCCTCTCCTATCTTCCTGCAATACTTAGACCTTCATTTCGAGTCTGTGACTATCTGTATTCCCCCCCCCCCCAAAAAAAAAAAGGGGGTAATAGAAAAAAGGGGAGAAAAAGACAAAATCTACTTCTTTAAAGCCCTCACCCCCCCCCCCCCCCCTCCCCCCCCCCCCGTCTCCTTGCTTCCTCCCTCCCCGCCTAAAGGCGCGCCTTTGCATTTCAAGCAGCCCCAGCGCTGCAGGAGTCTGTTGTTTGGGATCAGGAGGCTGCTGCGACGCTGTTAGCACCATGGACAGATCGCGCGGGGGAGACCCCTGCTCCCGCCGTTCCCTGCCGGCAGCTCCCGCTGCTGCGCGCGGCGGTGCGATCGCGGGAGGATGCCGACAGCATCCCCCTACGCGACCCCACACCGCTCGCACGCACTGGCCAGGAGGATAGGGAACGGACAAACTAGCGAAAACAACCCCAACCAACCAAACTTACAAGCCCCGAATACACAAAATGCAGAGTTCTCAGTTTAACCCGGTGACTAGCAACCGCTGGCTGGGTGGGCGGCGGCGGAGGAAGAAGGGTGAGGGAGGTGGGCAGAAAAAGGGGCACCGTAAACCACAAAGCTAGTAGCTTTGCTAAATATCTGTTGCCAAGCACAAATCTAAAAGGAGAAAGAAGTAACACAGGCTACTAAATTATCCCACCAGTTCCAGGTTAGCTAGGAAGACTAGATAAAGAGCAAGAAAGAGGGGAGGAGACAATGAGCAATATTTCCTTCCCATCATAATACATTCTAGTCAGTCTGTAATGATGCATAACAGAAAGCAACATTGCAAGGTCTTTCCAAATTTTTCCCTTTTTGAAACACAGGTTTTATTTATTGTGTTGTTTGTCTGTAGCCCCCCTCACTTGACTATCATGTTTCGTTATGCTGCACATCTTTAAAGTGAGTTATAAGAAAGGATGATACTGGTGCCCTGAACTGTGTCCCTCAGGATTAGTGTTTAAACCTAGCAGTGCTACACTGAAATGGGTAGATCCTGTTTGTCAAAGAACTGGGATACAAAGGTGAAGGTTAGCTCTAGGAAGTGCCTACCAGGGCTGAGAAACACAAGATGTATTGCTCCTTGGTCTGATTATGTAGGCAGAGGTTCTCAGAAAGAGTAACTAACTCACGTAAAGCCTTTGAAATCGGCATTTTGATGAGTGGTTGTGACCTGCGCCTCAGAAGAGTGCCCGTTCCATAAGCTATGTCAGCCGGCTGTGGAAGGTTTAACAATTTGCACGTCTCCAGCTCAGCCCTACAAAATACAATAAATCAGTCTGATCTCCTTTTTCCTCTCCCAGATTGGTCTTGCACAAAATCCCTCAGTGAGTCCAGTGAAATACTGCATTCTGCCCAAGGGTATTTGGACCTAATTACATGAAACTTTACTAGTTTCCTATGGGAGCAACCAGGGCGGTCTACAGCATTTCCCACAAGCAGAGCTTAGACTGTAAAGAAGGCAGATTTGTGCATAAGGGCACAAGCTGTTTATGAGAGAAACCCGGGGGGGGGGGGGGGGGGGAAGAATGAACAATGTGTGGAGAAACTGGAAAATCAGAAAAGAGGGGCAATGAGAAAAGAGATAAATTAATTTGAAATTTAAAAAAAAAAACAGAGAAAGGAGAAAAAAGCAACACAAAAATCAGAGAATAAACAATGAGTGGCGTGAGGAGATCCCAACATGTTATGCATTTGTTTTGCAGCAAAATTCACTGAGTTTCCCCGAAATGTCACTGCCACTGAAGGGCAGAATGTGGAGATGTCTTGTGCTTTCCAAAGTGGCTCCGCTTCAGTGTACCTTGAAATTCAGTGGTGGTTTCTGAGGGCAGCTGAGGACCAAGAGGCTGGAGCTGAGGTGACAGGCACTCAGGTACTGATCTTCTGCTGTGGGATTCCCAAACCACCCAGGGAATGAGTGCCATGGGAGAAAGGGTGGAGATGGAAGGAGAGAAGGGGGGAGAGAAGGAGGAAGCAGAGGGAGGTTCTGGATCTCCCCAGGGACTTAATTTTGACCATGAACTAGCAGCACAAAAACCTGCAGAGAAAAATACCCACCTCAAGGGACAGTGCCTTTGGTGCCTGTCACTCTCGGGATGCAGCTTAGGGATGTTCACAAAACCTCATGGATTTCCAAAGTCTAATTTTTTTTTTTCTCTGTTTCATTTTCCTTTCGGAAAGCAGCTGTTCAGAGACTGCTCCTAGTGGGATTTTTTTTCATCTCCCAAATGGCAAGATCCTACACGTGCCCTCCAATTTACAGCTGGTGCAGCCAAGTTGGCAGCCCTAACTCTGCGTGCAGCTGCCACAGGAAGGCACACATTTGGGAGCGGAGGGGGGGAAACAATGCCCCAAAGAAGAAGATAAAACCCATACAACAGCGCAATTTCAGCCTTCCGAGTGGCCAAAGGGGGCCATGTGAGCTTACACCGTCACCCAGGGCAGTTCCTCCCTTCCCCTTCTGCCAGGGTCTCGGAGCTCAGCAGCCCCAATGAAGCCGGGTGCGAGGCGGGTCCGTCCGTAGGTCTGTGCCCCGCTTGCCGCGCTCCCTGGGGTGCCCAGCTGCCCGCGCCCCTCCCCAGCCCGGCGCGGCCCGCAGGGGGCACACGCGGCGCGCCCACCGCTCGCAGCGCTCCTTGGCAGGGCGGGGGGTGCGGGTCGGCGTGGTCCCCAGCAGGGGGCTGGCTACCGACGGCGCGCTGCTCTCCCTACAGGTGGAGCTCCTGCCCGAGCGGGACCTGGACAGCGACGGCACCAAGATCAGCGTAAGTGGCGGCGCAAGGCGCGGGCACCCCCGTCCGCCGGGCCGGCCCTGCCGGAGGCGCATCCCACCCCAGGCGCTGCCGGCGGCCACCCCGGAGCAGGCACGGCTGGGTACGGCGAGGGTGGTCCCGTCCTCCCTCCCCCCGGGCATCCCCTCCCCACACTCACCGGATGCTGAAGCCGAAGGGTGACTCCTTTCTCAGCTCCTTCCACGCCGGCCCCGGCAGAGGGTACCAATCCTGCCCTAAGAAGCCTTCCCCTCCTTGAGACTCCGTGCATGAAGCGAGGTCCAGGCAGACCTTCAGAAGGCTCTTGCTTCCATCCCAGGAAGCAGCCAGTCTGCACCCGTCCTTATACTTCCTGTTTCCATTTACCCTTGGTGACTGCTGAGCCCGTCGTATCGTGCCAAAGCTGGGTTTAAGGCTGGAATTTGGTCATGAAGCTGTGCTTCCCTTCAGTGGAGTTTCCAAGTGTTTAAACGGGTGCTTTCCCAGGTTCATATCGGCTGGCAGAAAAAAGCTCATAAAGTCTTTGGACAAGACCTCCCCACTGGGAGGTCTCCACTTTTGGCCACTGAAACTGTTTCTTAGGGAAGTGGGGTTCTGACAGCATAGTTACCAATATGATGTTTCAAAGTTAAGTTAGAAAGCTGTCTCAACAAAATTAGGAGCAACGTTGCTCCAACCCTTGTCCAGGGGAAGGATGCCTTACTCAGCAGACCTGTACTGTGTGCCAGGTACAGCCATAGCCAGCCCCTGACTTCAGCAGAGTTCAGACCCTCTTCCCTCTGCATCCTAACTAATGTATGGTGGTGAGGTCTTGGTGTGGTGCTTACTGCAGTGGAAAGACACAGATAATTGGCAGATAGTGTAGCATGGGTATTCCTTTATCAACCCACAGGGGTTTTCTCTTTCTCAGACACAATCCCTTCAGAAGTGCCTTTTAGCTACAGCCAAAGAAGTACCAGCAAAGCTTAAACAAGTGACAGAGGTGAAAAATTTATGTTAAATCCTTTGCTGTTTTTTGATGCCAGCAAATAATTAACCAAGTAATTACATTGGCTCGAAGTGCAGCTAGGTGTAGCTGAAGGGCATTTATAAGAGAGAATTTGAGTACATGATATTCAAAATGATACATAATCTAGCCATACTTAGATTTCCTATGATACTTTTCACCATACACTAGAAACTATTTGTGTTGTCAACTGTATCTTCAGTTCCGTTAGTAGACTATGTTACAAATGAGGCCCACATGTGGTCTTTGGATACTATTCCACTAGATGTAGTACTGTAAGCCAATTAATTCCTTATCAATACTGGCCGTTCAAAATTACAATAGCAATCCATGAGGTCTGTGACTCAGTACAAGTTGTAAAGCTTGTCCCATCCTTCAACTGAAAAATCTCTCTCATTATGTATGGTAGTAATTCATGAGGGGGTATTTAGCCAGTGTTTTTATAAGCTAACATTTTATTTTTGCAATTAAAAAAAGTCAACATTAGGTTGACAATCTACACTTGTTACAAATGTAGCCTTCCTTTTTTTCCTCCTTGAAGGCAAACACAGAGTCTCCATTAGTACTACTGGGAAGTATCTTCATGAAGAGGGGAGCAAAATTTAAGTGCATTTCATAAATTCTTTACAGAACTGGTAAAATATACTAAATGAGGTTTTAAGCTGTGCTGAAATACACTGCTTCTACTGGTTTTAAGTGATAATTAGGAATAAATTGAAAACATGCATACATGCTGACCGCAAATTTCTAAATTCCTAAAACAAATTCTGTTTTTCATTAGTGTTACGCAACACGGTTAACTTAGCAGATATTGCAGTGGAGCAAATTAGCGTAGGATATGACCTAAAGATCCTCCTTCCATTCATATGAACTTTCTTTAATCCTTTTGCAGAATATGAACAGTTCAGTAGAGATATATTATTATTGAATATGGTTTAAATAACTGTCCAGCACGTTCCATGTAATTATTATTGCATATGTTATGCCTGAAAGTATGCAATCCATACTTCCAACTCAGTTTGCCAAGTATAAATTTCGAGCTGGATAAAACACAACAGGCTGTAAAGTCCATCCAGTACCTTAAAGCAATAATATATTCACAATTATTACTCTTCAATTTATCAAGCAGGCAGAATAGGTGCTTTGCCAACACTGGTGACTGCAGCATACCAAGCTAGCAGAAGCAATATGTTGTATAATCACCAATAGCACTTGCCTAGTTTCAGTTGAACAGTTCTCCATTTTCATGGTCTACCATATACGCATCACTCTGATGTTTCCTCATTGCCTGTCAGTGATAAAACACAAAGCCACATTTACATCCATAAACATGTAATGGTGGATGTAAACTGGGTTCAGGAGTTCTTCAAAGCTGGTTTTCTGTCCCAGTAAATCCCTTTTAACTGGCTTCCTGTGGGGCAAGAGATATTCATCCATATAGAGAGTAATAAACAATTAATTAAATATAAATTCTCTGAAGTGATGAACATACAGAAAGGAGTATGTGTTACCTTCCCTAATGAATCTTAATAGCTATCATGAATTTCTGGATGCATAATTTACTCATGTGTATTTTAATTATGTGAGACAAAAATAAGTTATGTTACCCTCAAATATTAAAAGCAATTAAAAATAAATCAGGCGTTATTTTAGCTGACAACTTTTAAAATGATCTTGAATATGTGCTACTTGAATATGTGCTGCAGAAATATGTGACTTCTAATAAACATGCACCTCTATAGATGAGACAAAAGGAACTACCTGGCACAAGATGTCTTGTTATAGTTAATAAACAAGAAATACCATAGGTACACGCCTGAATGAGACAAACTGAATGTCAAAGATCAGTTTCATTGTAGTGGAGACTACAAGCTAATCCAAGAAATTGTTATTAAGGAAGTTTAAATATTGGCCAACATTTCCAACAAAACTGTTAATGCACAAGTCCAAAAGCTGAATTATTCAATAAAGTGAACTAATTGAAAGGTTTAACTGATGAAGTGCACAGATATTACATTTATGTAAGAAAGCTAATGAAGTGTCTTCATGAGCTTAAGTAATTAATTGGAATGAACATGGTAGTTTGGATTGTTTGTCTGATGCCAATTAGCCTTTCAGAGCAAATCATCTGAACAGTTTTAGAAACAAAGACATCACACCTCCTCCTAGATACAAATAATCATGCTCATCCCTGATGCAACTTCCCTGCAGTAAGCACAATCACACCACTGATTAATTTGGCACTACATTGGTAGAGTCTTTCCAGAGAACAACACCTGACAACATGTTTGTTTGTTTGTTCTCCTGGCAAATTTGCAGACAGTGAAAGTACAAGGGAATGACATCTCCCACAAGCTTCAGATTTCAAAAGTGAGGAAAAAGGATGAAGGCTTGTATGAGTGCAGGGTGACCGATGCCAACTATGGAGACCTTCAGGAATACAAGGCCCAGGCGTTTCTCAAAGTCAATGCTAACAGCCACTCTCGGCGAATGCAAGCCTTTGAGGCATCTCCAATGTGGTTGCAAGACATGAAACCTCGCAAAAACATCTCAGCAGCTGTTCCAAGTAGCATCCATAACTCTGCCAATCAGCGTGTGCGTGCCACCTCCAGCCCTGAAGCAGCAGCCAAAATTCCCAAACAAAGTCCACAATCAGGTATGGTAAAGCATTTTGAGCTTTCATTTGATTGCTTTCCGGCATGTAGAAGGAGGCTAACTCAACAAGGTAACCAGGAATTGTGACTAGAAGAGTGTGGTGGTCATTTATTCCTCCTTCTTTCTGGCTCTATTCTTCCTGCTATCTCCTTACTTCCTAAAACCTGAAGAATAAGCTTCTGGGCAGAAACAGCAAAAAGCCTTAAATTCCTATACGTGGATTTTATCTCTACTGGCTTTATCCACCTAAGTTTAGCTTTTAAATCAAAGCTTAGCTTCCCTGTAGTGTGTGTAGAAACAGAGGAGCATGTCAGTGAATGACTCATCTTAAGATGGCTATGCATGATAAATGAAATAAAACTCCCATTCAGAATTGTTTCTTCATAAGTTAATTTACACCAGTCACCTAACACCTATCTCTCACATCTGGCAAAATTAATCTACTTCTAGTAACAATCCTACTTCCATAAGGAATTTGACTTCTAAATCTAAGCAGATCTTAGATATACCAGATTGTTTCTCCCTTGTATAGGCCTTAGAAAGATCATGGGCTCCTCAGAGAACGTGCCCTTCTCATCTTCAGCTGCTTGACCATTAGCTTTGAATCATGTATCGAAATGTCCGTGCCTCAATTATTTGTCACGTAGAGACTAGCATACTATTCATTTCGTTTGAGAGATTTTGTACAACACTGTATAAATAACCTGCAGTCAATATAAGTCTGAGTTTTCTACATTGGTACAGTAAAATTCACAGTTATGTGAAGGTACGTGAATATACAGGAGGTGCAGATGTTGATCACTGCATGACTGCAATAGAGAGATGCACAGGATAAAAAACTAAGATGTTGTAAATACTCAAAAATTCTCTGGAAAACAAACTGTGCAGGTTTAAGGGTTTCTGGATCACTTCTGCTTACACTGAAGGCCCAATATAAGGCAGATCAGAACCGAGCTGAATATATATAATGGAAACTAACCTTGTTTGTTCTGATGCATCATTTATCTGCTAGCAAATGCCATCTCATCAAAACCAAACCTGGGAATACAACAAATTTCACAGCACACCTATTGTAAAAATCACTTCAATCTTGCAGGCATACTATTAGAAAAACATTTTGATAAGGAAAATACATTTCTTTACGGATTGGAGCACTATGATTATTCATATAAAAATTCTTATTGGTACTAGAAAAGATGATGCACATACCACCACTATTTTACCTCTGCATAGTTTTCAAATTTATTTATAAGTTACATTCGGTTCTGTTTCCCTGAAATGAAGCCACTTTCATTTTTTAGCTCTTTCAAAAATGTTTAAGCTGTTAGAAGAAAAGTATCTCAATTGATTTAAAATCATCTTTCTACTATGACTTTCCTTTTAGAGAAATGTATATATTGCTTATTTTCCATTGGGCTCATACATTTCAAAGTAGCAGACTTTTCTGTAAAGTGAAAACTCTGGTTTCTCTTCAGTTCTATGTGAAATTAATTAAAATAGTCGCAAGTTTATGAAATATGTACCTATAGACTATACTGCATTGCAGCCAAAGTGTGCACACAACAGGTAATCCACTAAATCACTTTGGATATATAACTGAATCCATAATATTGTTTATGTCTTTATTTCAAACAATATCTTGACTGATTGCTGGACATTTGTTACTTGAGAGGTAATAGGTTATTACATGGAAAGGTCCCTGTAAAAAAAAAAAAAAAGAAATCATAGAAAAACTTAATCTGTAATTTTTTTCCTTGAGCAAAGATTACTGCAGATGAAGTACAGAGAAACCAAATCATAAATTATTTTAAAATTAAACAGATTTAAACATAGTTTATTAATTCATTTGTTTTACTGTGAAGCACAGATTAATGCTGCATTCAACAGAGGTGAAGCTCATCTACTGAGGAAAAAAGTGTGTACCAAGAATCTATATTAGGCTTAATTTCAATTTAATGGTCACTTGTTACACAGTAATTATTGGTGGTAGTTTGATGAGCATCAGTTTAACTCTTGAGAACCAGGATTCACTTTCCTTTCTCCTTGAGAAAATCTGGTCTTAATTTTCCAGCTTTGGTGAGATCTGGATTTTCACTCCATTTTATACTCACTCTACACCAATAGAAATACCCACAGGAGCAAAAGGCAGTGAGGATTTTTAGCTCTATTTAACTCTGAGGAGCAACTTCAGCTAAGAAAGGGAAGATATCAGTTGTGAGACGTCAGAAAAGCAGAGAGAGGAGGTGTCATAGCCTATAACAGTCTTTCATTTTATGATACCACGAATCAACACAGTCTCCTTATACTGTCAAATGAGAAACTCTTCCCTTCTTCAAAATCATGCTAAGTATATGCATGTGCACAAGACTGCTGTGTGATTGCATTACATGTAAGCAATGTATCCATCCAGTCTAGAACACAGAAACATGGTTAAACACAAATTTATTACTGTTAACCACATTTCTATTTGACAGACATACGGGGTGATTGTGATGTGTTTGTTTATGTTGAGTAATACATTGATTTCAGCAATACTGTTTGATGAGAAAAATACTATTAACCATGGGTAATTGTATCAAATATTCTCCAATATTAGAGAGCTAGTGTATAGTTATTGGCAAGCAATAATTTTTACTTCCACGCTCACAGACTACTGCAGAATACATTTACAGCAAAGGGAAACATGACACTGCAAAATTATTTGAATATCTGTATTCAGCTATTTTTTAAGAACTCGGCTACTGATATAAGATTGGCTCTGATTATATGAATATTTTGTTCCCAAAATTTAGTGTTGTAGGTTGCACTCTCCTTAAATCCTTCAATCCTCAAGCACACCACAGAATTTCACTTCTTTCTTAACGATATTTAATAGGTTGTTTAGAAAAGCAGTTTACAGCCACTGCCATTTAAAAATATCAGCATTTCCCAACTGAACAGATATTTCTGCCATTCTCTTTTACATAAAAGTAAGAATATCTATGATAGCTATGAGGGAGCTACATAGCCAGGGCTGATGAAGTGATGTGAGGTCCATAAAGCGTTTTGTGCTGCTCTGAAAAATGCTGTGTGACTGTAAGAGGTATTTGTTATTGTTAGCTTAATCCAATATGGGAAGAAAGAGGTAAAGAGAATATCTCCCACAGACAATCTTCAGATAATATACTGAGAGGCACTGAATGTATACCTCAAAGTCAAAGAAGTCAGGAAAGAAAAAGTCAAAGCTAACATAGCTTGACCCTTTCATTTCATATTCATGGGCTGCAGTAGATGAAGTAAGCCATCACATCTTAAGAGGAATCTAAGTAATTTGACAGGCTAATCTACATATATCCAGAAAATGTCCTATGTAGGTGGAGTGACAGACATTTGTCCCTGCATAATTCATAGCAATGTATCTTAGTCCAAAGGGGAAAGTACAGAGTTCTCACAGAGCCTTGTAACTCTTAAGCAATGTTGCAATTAACTGAGGTGCAAGAATTCCAGTAAAAGGAAGCTAAATAATCTACAGGCAGGCTGTACCAAATCTCACTGTTTCATGGATATAAATCTAGACAAACTTTGCTACCTTCATTCAAGTCACTCAACTTTATAGCAACACAAAAGGCTGCAGAATTTGGTGTGCTGAGAATGTGTATAACCCCCAAACTCATCCTGTTCTGCCAATGCTCTGTTAAAGCGCTCAAAGCTGTTAGTTGATTTGCAGACTCAAGATCAGGTTCAGAGAACTCAAGAAGAATTAGCTCCAAATGAAGAAGTGACATTAGGTTAATTTTCTGACCTCCTGCACACAGACTCCACATTTCCAGCAACTTTTTGTTCTTTCCTGTTGTAACAAATTCAACTATTAACGCAGCTACGTGCCAAAACTGTTCTTGTGATGGTAGCAAAGTTGCAGTGAGTGACTTGAACTGGAGCATAAAGGAGAAGGTGTCCCTTACCTAAGACAGAACAACCAGGATTCTTGGCATCATAAATCATGCTGAGAAGCTGAATATCAGGTATGAAAACAAAAGAAGAGGATGAAAACATATTTCTTCAGTCTGGTGATCCTGATAAACCAATGACATTCCTTCCTGCCTCTATTATTAATTATCTACAGAGTCCAGGAATATTTTATCAGCTTACTGTAAGCACAAATTTTATGTCCAGTTTGGAATCATATGGAATATAAAGCAACTTCTGTGATTTGTTTGCTTTTGGTTTGTTTTTTTTTGTTTGGTCTTTTTTTTAATTGCTCTTTTATGTTACTTTTCCTCTTAAAGCGAAGGGACAAAAAGTCTGCTCTAGCCTGCACTATGTCAACAGCCAACATTTCTTCTTTCTTCACTAAGAGAAAGACTTTATCTTTGGTGGCTGCTGTTTCTGAAACCATGTGGCTGGGAGCCACTAACAGTGATTGTTGAACAACAAACATTCAAGTCTCTATTTCATTAGGACTACATTAAAGCAAAAAACAAATGATGGTTTTGTTCTTCTTGTTCTGAACCTTATCCAGCCATCCTCAGAAATTCTATCAAAAGGTGATGCAAGGTCTATCCCATGTTGCACCTGTGTACACTATAATCTCTGTTTTTACTTGAAATTTACACTTTGGTTCTCTCATCCTGCTACAAAGCCACTTCACTTTTTTAGCTTCTCTGAAATAATGGAATAAATTCTTCCCATGGTAATTGGTGTAGCCCTATCAACCAGTTAGTTGTTGACCTTGAAACAGTAAGCATCTTCTGAAAAGTGCTAATGTGCTCCAAGTAACTTTGTTGACAAAACCAGGTCTTAACAGCAGCTAAACCCATTTTTTTTAGGCCAGGATTTCCAACACAGGATGAACTCACTACTGCCCTATGTTTCATTCAAAAAGCCTATATCTTAGTTTCTTATATGTGTGTAATTACTGATAGAACCAAACACATACAAGTATTTAATATCCCGTTCCTAGTGTTTAGTAAAACTGAACTGTTTTTGGTGGATCTGCAGTTCTAACTCCCATCACAAGCAAAA